TCGACCTTCAAATTTAAAACAAACTGCTAATGTTGCAGCATCTGGAAGGTGCAGGGAGAAGGATACAGATGGCCAGATGGATGCAGGATGGAAAAGGCTCCCCTCACGATTCTGTGTTCCTGGTGAAGGTAAATTGGGAAGGGTCTTCTGCCCACATCAAGATAGAAATGCAAGCATTTTACCTTCCCCCAACCCTCCTGTCTGTCTGTCTTTTTTTAATAAGCCGTTTTCAACCTGTGCCAGCAGGAATAATGTATGCAAGCATTGGAAGCCTCTTGGATGTGCAGTCAGTGGGGAACAGCCTACTACATGCATTTTTACATATCTTCCAGCTACCAGAGAATCAAAGCGCCAACTGCAGAATTTTAGTGCCCAAGGCTATCCTGTGGATTTATAAGACCCCTTGAAGGAGCTTGGATACACAAGCCAATAATGTGCCAAACTTATTATTATACAAACATGTACATATATAACAGTAGCCAATTTTGCTCTCCACCTAATGTGGATTTTTCTTTTAATATTTTATATGCTTCTATTATCTTTAAAATAAATTCTTCATTTAGAATGTTATTTCACTGGCTCAGAGCATTACATTATGGAAATTGGGCTGGTGTTAACTGATAATTCTCATTCTGAAGAATGCTGTGCACCCCAGAACACTTTCTGATTGTTTTTTATTTGAATTCAAAACCCAGCACATCCCATAGGCTTAGTACAACTTAGATTAAATTCCTTGTTTCCGAGTGAAATACTCTCGCATCACTCTTCCTCTCCCCTTTTCTCTGTTCCTAGCTTTTCCACAAATAAATTTGGAACAGGGAGAAAAAAGGACTTTGCCCAAATGAACTTCTATCTATTTCTCATCCTGGGAGAAAGAAAGGATATAAATCCAATAAATAAGCAAGCAAGCAAACAAGTTAACAGATAAATAATATACATGCCTCTGCAATATTTGCTAAGTTGATTTATTAGTGTTTCTTTGTTTCCAATAGAGGAAAAAATCTGAGGCTCTCCAGAAGTATTTGAATTCCACCTTCCAAAGTCCATTACTATGATGGCAAAGACTGCTGGGAGTTGTTGTTCAATAACATCTAGAAGGTTAAAGATGTACATCTCTCATATAAACAAACTCCACACACTATGCTAATCTGCCTAGAGGAATTTAAATAATGACAGATGAGTACTGAACATTTTCCTGTGAATTCAGTTCACGTTTCTGCTTACAGTACGATCCCTGTATCCACAGAGAATAGGTTCCACACACACACACATATAGATAGCTGACATTGGACAATAGCAAATCCTATATATTGACCAGAAACATACTGAAGAATCTCACTGGATGGTCTAGAGAAATTCACAAACACTCCTAAGGTGGAATATTTTTGGAGCATGGGTAACTGTGGGTATCATACCCATGGATACAGGGCTTGCACTGTACTTTTTATCTGCAGCATCATTGGTAGATTCTTCTATATTAGTGGTTCCCAACCTGGGGTCCATGGACCACCAGCGGTCTGCAAGAACGAAAATATGATCAGCGGCCTCATCATTACACTGTTGCCTCAAAAACACATAGCAACAAGAGTGACTGGTCTCGCAAAACCCACTTATGGTTCCGAGGCAACAGGGATGTCAAGAGGGGAGAGGCTGACTATCCACGAAAGATTACTACTACCACATCAGCTCTAGATTATTAAATATGCTTTTCTGTGGATGAGCAGATGGTGATTACTGGATGGCATATGTTCTGTATCAGAAACTAGAGCTGATGTGGTCTATCCAATGCAATTTTCTGAATTAGCACTCTAAATAATCAAACCAAATCTAAAGTTGACCAAAAAATTGATTCATAAGGCATTTGGTACTAAAGTTGGAGAGTCACTGGTCAAAGCAGTCCCTGGTCAAGTAGTCCCTGGTTAAAAAAAGCTTTGGACAACTGTTCTGTATCTATTTGAAGACATTTATATCTTGTCTTTGTCAAATGGCTTCAAGACATATAGCAACAAAATATTGCTTGATGAAGTTCATCATGTACAAAATGTTTAGTGATATAGACATTTTGAAAATCTAGGAAGAGTCCTGCTCTAGAAAGTGGAGAAAGTAGATATAAATAGTATATCTTAATTCTTTTCTCCCAATGTACTGTATGCTTTCTTGTAGTAGAGAATATCGGCTATAGGAAAATGGTTTAAGAGAACATAGTAGCAATACAGAAAAATGAGTTTTTGGGCTTGATTACATCATATATATTTTGCCATTGTGGAGAGGAATCCATTATGTAGCCATCTCAACCCACATAAAACTCATCTATTGACTGTGACTCTCAATATCGCCATTTAGTGGCCAGTGGAGAATAAGGGTGCTGGATCTGGACAAAGGTCAATGTCATCCACCAAAGCAACCGGAGAGGTTCTCAGAGACTTATGTCATCACTGAAAATCAAGCTACAAGGCCACTGTAAGACATTGCCCTCCTTTGTCCCTCTCCACCCTCCTCCTTATATGCTTCATCTCTCTATGATGGTTCTTAGCTATCATTTTCTGTGCTGGAAGAGCTTTCTCTATTTCCACTGTCTTGTGCAGATCACTAGCTGTTGGGGTTAGAGCTTCTGCAGAGATGGGCAAAAAGTTAAGACAATCTGCACAAGGAGACTAAAGGATTCAGATAATTATATATCTCACAGGATTTTCCTATAGCCTCATCACACCAGAGCATGGATCTTCTTTAAATCCAGTTTCTGCCTCCTGCAGATTTCTGAGATTTATAGTTTAGCAAGGCCCAAGACCTGTCTGGCTGAGCAGCTTAAAGGCCCCTACCTAAACTACAAGCCCCAGTTTTCTGCAGGAGGCAATAACTGGATTTAAAGTGGATCCATGCTCAAATGTGATGACAGGTAATTATGTGAAATGCCTACCAGATCTCTAAATGGGAAGATGATGAGAGTGGTGGGCATGATTCCTCCTGAGTGTCCTCTCTCAGGGAATGGAGCTAAACCAGACTTCTAATTCCCTATTGAGCTAGCAGCAATGAAAGGAGTGAAAAGGCCATTAGACTGAAGTAAAAACACTTTGTTATCTGGACCCCCAAGTCTATGGTAAAGGTACCAGTACAGTATTTCCATAAAGAGATCACCCCAAATTATACCATGGCGGTACTGCAAAATTCTGTATAATTGCAATTGCTATAGCACCAATGGCAAAAGTATGATAGCTGCACCCTAAGCTGGTTGCGCAATGCGGGTCTGAATGAATGAGGGGAACATGTGTGCGAGACAGTGCAGCGAATGAGAGACGCAGCTGCGTCAGAGTCGTGGCAACATTGTTCACCAGAAAGTGGGAGAGGGAACATTTCTATCCCGTTTACTGTCTTTGTAAGCCGTTGTTTATCATTTAACATTAAATAAGTGTTACATACATTACTTCACCCTTATCCTCTCCCACCTGAATTAAATTACTTCACTGCTATCCTGTCGCAGTAGCTGTGCTATCTCGCGCACATCTTCTCTTCATTAATTCCGAGCCATGTTGTGCAACTAGCATAGTGTAGGGTCCCAGCTATCATACTTTTGCCGCACCAATTTTGACTATGTGTTTGGATTGAAGAACAAAAAAACCCACATCTAATGTACTACATCTGGTATACCATAAATTAATCAGACCTTCAAAACTCAATAAAAGGCTGGTTATATGTGCATTTACAAAACTTAACATATCTCTTTTTTATTACTATATAATTAATAATTTGCAGTGAAATATGTGAACTTACTCCATTGTAAAGTAATATAAATAAATACAATTCTATGAGCTGCTTGATAATTCTGACATTATATATCTACATTTGAAAGACTGTTGTAGAGAATATTCTATATTCTGGGCTTATTTTTATGCACAGTAATTCACCTCCTTCCCCCAAATCTGCAGGGGCTAAATTCCCAGCCATACCATAGTTATTGATATATCTGAACACAACTAACCAGCCAGTCGTAGAGTTGCATTGCAGGGCCTGAAGATTGCTCTAGAGATTCATTGAGAAATATCCTCTCTAGGAATTTGCTAGGTCTTCCTGAGTGACCCTATGGTAACTTCCGGGGGGAAGCATGCCATATAATTGCCTGGTGGACCTAGAAAATTCTCAGAAGTATCTCTTTGGCCTGGGCACAAGTTGGTGGCTACAGATATGCAGCTCTCAGTACGCTGTCTATTCTGGGATAGGAATTGGTGTCCAAAAGTTAAAGAAACAAATATTTACCAACCCATCTAGTATCATATCCAAATGGATTTTGGAGCATAAATATTCATGAATTATGTTTCAGTAAGTACAATGGCTTCTTAACTTTGCAAAAATGATCCTGGATTGCACTGCTAGGAAATGTGTCAATTGGATAACAGAATCAATTGCTTAGAACGTAATTGATATCCCAAAATGCTATCCATATCCCAGAATAGATTGCATTGTTCCAAGGTCCTGAATCTATATGTAAAATAGATGCAGTTCAGATCAAAAAAGTTCAGATCAGAAAACAGTGGACTGACCTACAGATCAGAAAACAGTGGACTGACCTACTGATGCTTTAGCACCAGCTTCTGTTGCTTAGCTTACTATCTAAGAACCATGAAACGCTCCTGCTGCAGCTAACCTTCTGCAAAATGCCTATGAGCTCAAAGTCGCTTGTACTGCATTTCCCCAGGGAGACTGGTCAACATTAAGAATGTATAAAGTACAATTCTGTCTGAGCATTTTGGCAACTATTTGTTATGATATTGCTTCCTGTCAAGCGCATAATGCAATTTTGTCTTCCATAAAAATAAACGCTGTGTGCAATCTCAGACTCTTGTCATTTCCCACATTTCTGGCACTAAATATTTAAACAAGGGGAGGCCAGAGAATCCCAAGCTAGTGATCGACTTCATGTGCTCCAGCCCCCGAGGTACGACTATCAATGGAACGGTGCTGTATTGCCGAAGAGACATGAAAGAGATAGCCGATGAAAGACCTACCTGCCCACAGGCGAGGCCCATGCCTCGTTCTCCCATGCCATGCGGACAAGATAAATTTAACTCCAGGGCATCCGCTCCAGAAGCCTGTATGGCACACAGAAAAGGAAATATCAAATATTAACTGCCAAATGGTATACCACTTCACTGAAGGTAATTTCCAAATGACAACCTGATGTGTAGATAACTCACGATGCATGCAATATCTCTCCCAACACGTGCGCGCACACACACACACACACCAATATTTATTTCACTTCATGACTAATTCAAAGCAAAATGTAGCAAAGTGATACAAGGCAAAGCAAACTTTAAAGGGACACATTCAAAAAGGGAGCATGGTTCTCCATAAGAATAGCTTTTGTTAACTCTTACTCTGCCTCAAATCAACTGTGAACTCTATTAAAGTCATTTTAGATAGTAAAAGCCGAAGGAAGAAAGCTATTGGAAAGCATGTGTGTCTTTTTGTGTGTGCATTTGCTAAACCTATACCTGAATAACAACTCTGTGCCTGTTGTAAACAAGCTCTTTAGAGAGGAGATTATAATTTAGCCATTCTTTCTGCTATTCTACTTTTGTACACAGTTTCTCATAATGGAAATTTGGTTAATTGTTTCCAATTACAGCTTGTTGCTGGTGGTTTCCTCATACTTCTAAATCTATTGCATTCATTTGTTGATGTATTTCTTGAAAAAAAACAAACCCTGAAGATTGATTTTAATTCAGTAAACACGTTAGTGTTCAGCAGAGAATAGATCACATGGAGGATATGAATAAATCTGGCACTATTACACTTATACCTGGAATGAGAGGGGGAGGTGTCTTTGGCTTTTAAATTTTAATTATGTTTTGTTTAATCTGGTTTAATAACAATTCACTTCTTTGAGGCTTGTGTGTTCCCCAAACCCCCTCTGAGTGTTCATTTCCCTCCCCTTTCACAGAAAAGTCCTCCTATTTCGAGGTTTGGACCGTCAATACATTATTGCCTGCCAGAGATGTGAGGTTGACTAACTAGTCCCATATTTGATGATAAAGGATACAAAGGATATTTACAGATTTTGTGTTCCATCAGGAGCAAGAGTGCCTCAATGTGTCAAGGCACAACTACAAATATATCTATCCACCAATGTTTTGAGCTTTTAGAAGAAATGGAAGTCTAGCAAGAAGTGTTTAGCACAAAAATTCACAAGCAAATACCAAAATGCAAAACAAACAAATGCACAAAACCATCACAATTTTGCCCAGCAGGGAAAAAAAGCTTTTGACATTTTCCTTTCTTTCCCATGCCTGAGAATGTGTTGATTTTCCTCCCTACCAATTACGTTCTGCTTGCAGGCCTTTGGCTCTTAAACTGTAAATACATTGAAACTGGTTTGTTGTCATTTTTTTTACTTATTTATTCTTGTTTTTATACAATGCAAATGTATTTGACTTACATTTGTATTGTTGTTAGATACTTTTGGCACCATCCAGCTGGATGTAGGTGTACTAATAAATGAATAAATAAATATTTTAATGTTTCTGTTCAGGAACCTCTACAAACTCTATATGCATTGATGACGAAACATGGGATAAACAAGACCCGGCACAGAGAATTTTTTTGAAACACGGGCCACTTTATACAACCGAAAACAGTGAGTGTGAAAGGATCAAAGGTATGAACAACCTAGTAATCATCCGGAGTTTTGGGGTCAGATGTCATCTGTACGCAGATGATGTTCAGTTCTGTCACCTGTCACCTTCCCACCTGTCACTAAGGAGGCTGTGCAGGTCCTGAATTGATGCTTGGCCACTGTGTCGGTCTGGATGGGGGTGAACAGATTGAAACTAAATCCAGACAAGACAGAGGTACTCCTGGTCAGTCAAAAGGCCAAACAGGGGAAAGGGTTACAGCTTATGTTAGATGGGGTTACACTCCCCCTGAAGACACAGGCTTGCAGTTTGGGAGTGATCCTGGACTCATCGCTGAGCCTGGAACCCCAGGTCTTGGCGGTAGCTGGGAGATGTTTTGCACAATTAAAACATGTGCGCAAGCTGCACCCGTTCCTTGAGAAGTCTGACTTGGCCATGGTAGTCTGTGCTCTTGTTATATCCCCGAATAGACTACTGCAATGCACTCTACATGGGGCTGCCTTTGAAGACTGCCCGGAAGCTTCAACTAGTCCAACGGTCAGCAGCCAGGTTGCTCACTGGAGCGACGTAAAGGGAACATACAACTCCTTTGTTACGGCAACTCCACTGGCTGATTATCAGATTCCGAGCACAATTCAAAGTGCTGGTTTTAAACTGTAAAGCCCTAAACGGTTCTGGCCCAGACTACCTGTCTGAACATATTTCCTGCCATGAACCATCACGAAATTTAAGTTCTTCAGGAGAGGCCCTGCTCTCGATCCCACCACTATCGCAAACACGGTTGATGGGGATGAGAGACAGGGCCTTCTCAGCAGTGGCCCCCCGCCTATGGAACACCCTCCCTAGAGATATCAGATTGGCCACCTCCCTCCTGTCTTTTAGAAGGAAAATCAAGACCTGGTTATGGGACCAAATATTTGATCAGTGAGCAACAAGTGGAAGAAGATCACACAACTTATGGCAATGAATTGACCCAGACTGGTTTTGGGATTTCTATTTTAATGGATGTGTCTTAATTAATTTTTCAATTGTTGTTTTAATTTTTAATATTTTGATTGTACTGTGGTTGTTTTTATGATGCTAGCATCGTATGATGCTTTTGTTAGGCCGCCCTGAGTCCCCCTTGACTCAGGGCGAGAAGGGCAGGGTATAAATATAGGAAATAAATAATGAAGGAATAGCAGAAACCAGATACAACCTCTAAACGAGCTCCCCAGTCTTCCTTTGAATGAAACACCTGAGCCCAGAGAGACAACCAATAACTGGCCACATGCTTAACAGAAGGCAGGTGCACGGTATATCTACCTCAAATCTCAGGATTTAAACTCAGAGCAAAACATCTAGGTCACCTTCAAAGGAAGATTCAAAAGGCAGAGCTCAAACCAAAGAGTATGAGAAGAGGGGCCTTAAGGTCTTAAATATTAGCCTGCTGATCTAGGCATGCATCTTGGCAGCTTGCATCGGGTACCTTTGGGCATCATGGTGGCCATCAACACACGGGGAGTAGTGTATATTTTCCAGATTCCCTGAAGAAGAATATTTTTTAATAAGATGCCTTTCCTAATGAAGGATCATCCTAGGAAGTCTATGAGAAGACAAAATGGGACTTGGTTTGAATGACCCATGGGTTATTAGAATCATTATTTTCAAATTAGTACTAATACATATAAATTAGCATCTGTACATTTTCCATATCTATTTTCTTATGTTTGTGTGCATGTGAGAGACTTGTAAGTAGACACCCTAGCCATGGGCATTCATGACATAGATGACATCATGAAGCTTGTTCTATGAGTAGACATGGGCAGAGGGAACTGAACCTGTTGATTTCAAGTGAGGTTTATGTGTATTTGTAACAACAATTCTTGCATAACTTGGCACAAGCAGTGCAAATAATGTGATCACCACAAATTGCATAAATTTATTTATTTATTTGAAACATTTATATTCTGCTCTTCTCACCCCGAAAGGAACTCAGGGTGGATCACAACATATATACAGCAAGCATTCCATGCTGGGACATAAAATAACTATAAATATATACAAACACTAAAATCAGTTACATCTACTTTAAAATCAGTTGTTTTAAACCATCTCAAAACATCATGACATGAATTGTGCAGGTAAAATGCGGCAATCATAGCCTGCTCTTTGGTTATTGTTGTGAACCTTCGAGTTGTTTTCAACTTATGGTGACCTTGGTGATAATTTCTTGGCAAGATTTATTCAGAAGTGTTGCAAGTGTGTGACTGCTCAAGATTATTCAGTGGGTCCCAAGGCTGAGCTGATATTCAAATACCTCTTAAAGCACATTGACACTGACCATTTAATGTGATGTTGTCTGTAGTTTAGAAAGTGAGGATGAGGAGATTCTGGTAGAAGGCTCAGCAATCCAGTTGGAGCCCAGCAGCTCCCTCATCCAAACTTTGAAGCAACACCCGTAAAATGAGCTATTCTTTCTAGTCTGCAGAACAAATGCAAGCAACTTCCTCTGAGCAAGTTGAGGAAGAGTTAATTGTTCAATTTTTGAGGACCCGAGAAAAATGAGGTTTCAGTTGCACAGATCCTTGAGATTATCTGAGAGGAGAACTAGCAACAGATAACACCTGTGAATTTAGGATTTAAAGAACTGAAGACTGGTACCTAGTTGCTAGCTGCAATGTCAGATCTAGAAGCTATGGCCCTGGACTCTTGATATCTCATGGTTCCTGAACCCTGGACTTACCTTGAACTTTGGGTTGCAGATTCTGTTTCAAACTTGTATTCTGGACCCTCTAGTAATTGGTTAATGACCCTGGAAGGGATATTTGACTTCTCTATTTGTGTTCTCCTGCTAATGTTTGCACCTCTCTTGGACTATTGGCTTGACCTTGGACTGTTGATTAATGCTCTGCTACTATTTGGGGTCGAGGCTTCTGACATGCAGCTTGAAGCTGACTTCAAACTCTGGTGGTTACAAAACATATGCCAACAAAGCACGCTGCAGCATGAATTGAAGGGATTAAAGCACATCAAGCCAAGTAGGGGGAAAGTACAAGTTAAACTCCTTAATGCACTTCACCAAGTCCCCAACGTAAACCATACTACACTGTGAAATTGGCTCTGCAGAATGCAAAGCACATTATAGAGACCTACCTGCACTGAATCATGTTTAAAAATTGGAAGAGGGGGTGTGCTGAAAAAATACCTCAAGGGCATAGCTGGGCATCAGGGGGCTAATTGACTCCCTGGGACAAGTATCTGATTACTGCCATTGCTAACTATCATTTTTCCTTTACCTCCAATGCATCTGGAGCACTGGTGCAAATATCACCCAGAAAAAATATTACGGATACAGAAACAAGTTTGAGGCTACCTTCCATGGTTAATGTAATCACCATCCAGGCCTCTAACCTTTCCAGACATGTCAGTTTAACCATATGCACAGAGAAATAAATGTTTCCCAAACTAGTTCC